TGTGTGTGTGTGTGTGTGTCTGTGTGTGTGTCTGTGTCTGTGTGTGTGTCTCTGTGTGTGTGTGTCTGTGTCTGTGTGTGTGTGTCTGTGTGTGTCTGTGTGTCTGTGTGTGTGTGTGTCTGTGTGTGTGTGTGTGTGTGTGTCTGCCCGCTGCCCGCTCTGTGTGCCACCAATGCTCGGCTCCCCGCAGGCGCTGCGCTGCACTCGGGCCCTGTCACAGCCGGGACCGCTTAAGCACCCCGGCGGTTTTCCTAAAGTACATCCCTTATGTCCAGTTCCAATGTCCTGTGTGGCTATTCGCAGGTTAACCTTCGCGCTCTGCTTTCATCTCATCCTTTAGAAACTTCCGCTGGGAGGGAGAAGAATCTTCGAAGCTCTTTTCATCTGATTTTTGGTGTCTTCACCGCTTCCTCCTGTCTCCCCTCTCCTCTGTGCTGTCTGTCTGGGAATGTATCTAATCCATATTTCACGCTGACTTTCTGAGTGAGAATTATTCAGAATGAAGATGGAAACAAAAGCCTGTAATAAACGTCAGTCCCTACTGTCTCACAAAAAGAAATTTAACAAAAGAATAAAGAAACATTACAAATTATCCCACAGCTATAATTCATGCTGATGCTTGCTCTCCTGACAAGGACCAATTCTTGCCGTAATTGCCGGAGCAGGCAAGAGCTGAGAGGTGATGCTCAGCTCCCTGCTACACACGGCGTGCTGTTCCTCTCCTGGCTGCTGAGTGCCAGATTATGGCTTTAGTGATACAAAATGTTATTCTCCTTTTTCTGAATGTGCTGTATGTTGTGTACATGACAATGACATTCTGCAGGTCACACTGAAAACTGAGAAAGATGCATGAAGAGAAGGAAATGAAAGAAGTGCAAATAAATACAAAAAGAAACCAATTCCGGCCACTCACATTTCTCAGTGACACAATATCCTAGAGATATGATGGAGCTTTTGAAATGTTAAAACTCTACAATACCAAAAGTTGCATTTTCTATCTCCTTAGGGAATACATTAGTAGTTACACTGCCCTATCTATGGAAATGTTATGGAAAAGAAATGCTCAGTAGCTGTCTCATGCTACTGTACAGTGCTTTGATGTTGTTGGCTGTAATGAATACAGTACAAATCTCTGCACAGTAACAAAATCACTTCCTCCTGGATGTGATCTGATGAGGTCTGTGGGAGCCTGCACTCCATTTTTAGAACTGGTTGCTAAGATGAGCTGATCTTTACAAACATTAATGGCTATGAAGTTGTTCTGCTGTATGCATGCACTCTTTCAAAACAAAAAAGTTGAATTTTTGGAGAATGCTCCATGCCTCTCTACTCCCCTGTGCATGCTGTGGTTTCAGCTCTGTGAGCCTTATATCCAGCCTGTGTTTCTGTTAAGGGAAGTACCAGACCAAATTCTCGCTGGTCTAATGGTGACTAAGGACTTTGTGGAATTGCCATCGACTCTGATCCATTTTCCAGACTTTTCCTTCATATTTATGAATCCAATTGTTTCCTCATCCTGTTTTTATTTAGCTGATTATCCCTGAGTACATTACATTTCACTTCTCTTTACCGACACACATTCAATCTTTTTAATTATTTCTCTTGTTGGGATAATTTTGAATTCAAATCCTGTCCTCCAGCCTACTTGTATCTACTGCCAGCATCAGGGGCTTGTGCAATAAGCAGATATTCTCTGACACTTTGTTTAACCATTTATGGCATTATAAAGTATTTATAAAACACTGACAAATCATTTTATTCACATTCATTCACATCCATTTGGGAATTGTCTTACACTGATATATTCAAGTCTAGACTACTTAAATATATATATTCAAGTCCAGACTACTCCATTGAGCAAAAAACTCTTACTTATTTTGTGTCAGTAGAAATTATTGTAAAAGTTACACAGAATTAGATCCAAACTGCTTAACTTAGCACCGTTCTTTCATTTTAATTGTTCTTCACATCTCAATATGTAAACTACATTTGTGCCCTATTAGATGCTAAATAAATTCAAAAACTAGAAGCACCAAATGGACCAAACAGACGAAATGAGAAAGCTTATCTCTTAACTCAGAAGAGATTATTAGAAAAACAGAAAATACAAGAATATTTTATAACAGAAAAATGTATGTTAGTGTGGACTAACATCACACTCTTATTTCATGTCCCTTTTCCCCACACTTTCACTGAAGTACCTAGATTTACCTCTTTAGAAATGCCTTTATGAGTTGTTACCTCAATTTTGGAGCCTATTTTGAACAAGTGTCAGTATCCCAGCACCCAGTGACCGTGCCCACGCTGGTTTTTCTACCCCTGCCTTAGGCTGTGTCCCCGCCAGAAGGTAAATCTGATTTAATGAGCCAACTGCAAAAGCACCACACCCAAGAATCTGTACAAACTCACTGCAGCAGCTGCAATTTTGTTTAAAAACCTATTGCAAGTAACTGAGTAGCAGCAGAGTGTCTATCAGGCGAGTGCTGCCTGTCCATCCAGCCAAAAACAGAGCCTTCATAAACACCCTGCCAGAGGCTGTGGATAATTTGCCTGGCATGTGTTGTGATTTCACACTTCATCTAGATCAAATTGCATTGCCACTTGATCCAGCCTTGGACATGTCCTTTGTGATGGACACAGAGCCTTGATGGTGGAGCTGCTGCCCCTGCACCAACTGCTTGTACCTGGATGTCATCATTGATGGGAATTTTCAAAGAGATTCTGTAACTCCTTTGCTTTTGAATGGCATCATATTTCATTCTACTTTGTCAGCAAGATTAAGTGACTTGCACATAGCAGTTTAAAAAAATGATAAAATATTTCTAATTCCCTTACATGGAAGAAACTTACTTAGTTTCTTAAATGGCCTGAACTAAACATTTTTTTGGCTTCCTCACAAGCAGTATCCAACATTGCTGGAAGAAAACCAGCAGGATTGGAGCACAGTTAGAGAAGCTTTTTGAACAGAACTTTGTTTTGCTGAAAAATGTGGACAGGTCAAGAGAGGGTTTTAAGACCTTGCACTGGATTTGTTTAACTGCTGGGAATAAAAATAATTTCTACTTTTAAAAATTCCTCTGATCAGTATATTTTGTTCTAGAAATGTCACAAACTACCAAAATTAGAATCTATACTCTTAATTCAAGATATCCTATTTACAGCTATTCAAACTTGACATTAGGAAGCATTTCTTTATGAGAGGGTGGTGAAACACTAAGCAGGCTCCTTGGAGAGGGGATCAATGTCCCAGGCAGTCTGTCAGTATTCTAGAGGTGTTTGGACAATGCCCTTAACAACAGCCTTTAACTTTTGGTCAGGCCTGAGGTACTCAGGCAGTTGGAGCACGTAACAGTCTGGTCTTGTTTATTCTATTCTAGAAATTCATTGTATTAATTTGAATTGCAAAATATAAGATTTGGCCTTTTTACATTTCTTCATTCAAGTCCCACTTCATTTGGAGATCAGGCAATATTGGCTTCTCATCACATTCAGAAAATGCTTTTCAATAAAAATATCTGTGTATATGCCTTAAAATAGAGCATGTGAAGAGAGGGTGGAGTGCAGCTTTGTTTCCTTGCATCTTGCCTTGTATTGACTTCTTTTCACTTAGACACTGCCCCCTTAGTAAGGCAGGAGCAAATCTCTAGTAATTATACAATCCAATGGTATTATTTGTTCTACCACTGAGCTGAATGTGATCCACTCAAGGGCAGTTCAGATCTAATGGCATGACACCTCTTGGCTTTACTGTTACAGACCAAAGCATCAGTGTGAATTGGCAATGCTTTGAATAAAGAGCCAGATTTCTGTGTTGAAGTGTGTTGGTGTCACACACATGTCAGTGTTCACTGACTTACAGACTTCACTCTACAAGCACAAGATCAGGAAATGTTATATACTGCTTTCCTGCTTCCCCAGTGCTTTTCACACAACACATTAAAATTATAGTGCCAGTTTTATCTTACAGACATAATCTGTGTCCCATCGTGCTTGCAAAACAAGCACATTTATTTTTATGTTTACATGTGGTACTTGAGCACCTTCTCTGTCTCAGAGCTGCTTGGTTTGTGCTGACTGGCAGTAAGGGAGACTGAATGACACCATACAGAATGTGACAGAATATGGCAACTTTGTACCCTGAAAA